AAAGGGAAATATGATGTGGGGATGTGGTGTTTGTGAGAGTGAGGTTATGGTCAAGAGGAGTAGTAGGAGATGAAGTATGTCCCGTAGAAGAAGTCAAAGTGGTATAAGGAAAAATATTTTCATGAAAATGAACATGTCTGCTAATAAAAACTCTGCCAGACTTGGGCTCCAAACAACGATAACCTTTAAAACCGGATGCATAACCAATGAAAACACATTGGACAGAACGTGGAGAGAGTTTATTTGAAGGAGAGGCAGAAAAATTTGGATAACACGCACACCCAAAAACTCGTAAAAAACTATAGTCAGGAGGTTTTTGAAAAAGAAGATCATAAGGAGAAACACCATTAAGTGACGGAGTAGGGAGTCTATTAATAATATATGCAGCTGTAAAAATAGCATCAACCCAAAATGTGCTAGGGATAGGGGCTGTAATAAGCATAGTTCTAGCAAATTCCAAAAGGTGACGATGTTTGCGTTCAGCAACACCGTTTTGTTGAGGAGTGTGTGGGCATGATTTTTGAAAATAAATGCCATGTTCATAAAAAAAATCTGCATATTAGAATTAACAAATTCACCTCCTCCATCACTTTGAAAAATTTTAATTTTAGAGTGAAACATATTTTCAACTAAAGCTTTAAATAAACGAAATTGATGAAAGACTTCACTTTTAGTGCGCAAGGGATATATCCAAGTAAATCGAGAAAAATCATCAATAAATCACACATAATATTTAAAACCTAAATTAGACAATACAGGGGATTGCCAAACATCAGAATGAATTAATTATAATGGTGAAGAAGAAGTATGGCTAGCATCCGAAAAAGGTAATCATTGAGATTTACCCAAACGACAAGAAACACAATCATGTTCGAAATAGAAGAACTAGATATAAGCTTTCTACGATGTAAAAAACGTAAAATAGTTTCACCACAATGACCTAGTCTACGATGCCACACAGGGCCAGAGATAGTATTAGAAGCTAAAGCTAAGGATGCAGTCGGATTGAGGCTGATAGGATAAAGATGGCCATTATGACGCGCCTGAAGAAGAACCACCCCCGAAGTTTTGTCCTTTACAAACAAATAATTTTTATCAAAAACAGCAACACAGTTGTTATCAGCACGTAATTTTTGAATGGAAATTAAATTGAATTTAATTCGAGGCACATGAAAAACAGATTTTAATGTCAGCGGGCAACTAAGAGTATTTAAAGTAATATTTCCAACATTAACAATAGGAAGTTTGGTACCATTCGCAACACTGACAGTCATGGAGCCAGAATAAGAGGATTTATTGGACAGAATACCTTCAGATGAAGTCATGTGAGCAGAGGCACCAGAGTCTGGATACCACAAAACATCGTTTGATTCCCCAGTGGGAGCAACCAAAGCAGGTGCAGAAGCCTGTGAAAAACGAGACGGACAATGCATCGCAGAGTGGCCTACAAAGAAACAAATTTGACACACAACAGGAGGAGGGACTGAACCAAGAATACCCTCAGCTGACGGGAAACCTGCATAATGATAGTGAGTACCAGAAGTAGATTTAGCATTAATATTTAAAGTGGACATGATAGATTTACCCGATGGTGCATTGTTTGGTCTCGGAGGGTACACACCCCCTGCGGCTGATGGTCCTGGTGCGGCTGCTGCCCCTGGTGCGGGATAGGGAAGCTGCCCAACCCCAGGAGCTGGCTGGTATACATGCTGGTGCGGGTGATGACCCCTGCCGCGGCCCCCTCTGCCCCGTGCGCCTCTGCCGCGGCCTCCTCTGCCGCGGTATGCGTGTGGTTGGCCCGGTGGGCCCTGCTGTCCGGGACCAGCTTGCGCCCCAAAAGCTTGCTGCAAGTTAGAGGATTCCTGATGGCACTGATGAAAGACACGTTGTTCTGCTTCAAGTAGTCTATGGTGAAGAATTTCAGGTGGAAATTAATTTGGGAACATGGATATAGTGCCCACAACAAACTCATACTCAGGGTCTAATCCATACAGGGTACTTTGCAGTAATTCTTTATTAGTGAAAGTGGAATTTATTGCAGCTAAGGCATCAGCTAAATTCTTAATATCCAGTAAGTATTGTTCCATAGACTGAGTGTCCTTTTTAATGGAATTCAAGGTACGCTTAAGTGTCATGGCTCTAGGTAAACTAGCAGACATAAAACGTGTTTGCAAATGATTCCATATACTAGCTGAATGTTTAATATCATGCACATCAGTTAATACGAGTTCCGAGTAAGAGTAGCAAACAACCAAGAACGAATTGTTTGATCTACCCTAAGCCAATGATAATAGTCGGTATTAATGATTTGCTGATTATTAAAATTCACTGTGTACATGGGAGGTACCTGAATGGATCCATCAAAGATTCCAAAAAATCCCTGAGACACCAAAAAGGATTCGAATTGAGTGCGCCAGGTGAGGTAATCTTCAGCAGCTTTTAGCTTTATGGTGACAATTTGGCTGACATTAACTCCATGAGATAGGGACTGTGCCAAGAATGCCATATGAGACCCTGAGAGAAGATTGTCGTTGACTGGCCGTATGACTCCCGGCGAGCCAGCAAAAGAGGGTCCAAAAAATTGAGTGTTCGCCGGTGCTGAGAAGGAGGTCTGCGGCGGGAGGCTGTTGAAGACCGGAGAACCCGCCGAGGCCCATGACAGATGCGGCGGGAGGCTGTTGAAGACGGGGTGCGTCTGAGGCGGTGACTAGAACGAAGAGGAGACGTCCGGTGCTGAGAAGAAATTTTGCGGCTGCGGCGTTGGAGGAGGAACGGCGCCTGAAATTGGATGGGGCATCGTCGTGGTGTGAGAAGCAGCAGACAAGGGGATGGACGATACCTGGGGAACGAAGATGGGTTCCAGCGAAGAAGTTGTGGCTGAAACGAAGGTTTCTGCCGTCGTGGTGGAGGCCATTCTCGGCTGCGGTGGAAGAAGGATAGAGGGAGACGGCAGCCGAAAAAAAAAAGAAATTTAAACCCTAGGCTCTTGATACCATGTGAGATAATGGGAAAAGGTACTCCAATATGAGTCCTGGCCTGTATATTTATAATAGAAGAGTTTAAAACAAACTAGGAAACAAATCTTCCTAATAATATTCTATTAAGAACAACTCTATTCAATTCTTCTAGATGGAACGATGCTAGGTCTGCAGTTCGGTTCTACCGTCGGTGGCTTCTAATCTTTCTCATTATCAAGGATTCGACTGAGTTCCTTCTTTCTTCTTTTTACTACTTTTTTATTATGTTACAAGAGATATTTGGTGTTTGTCATACTAATGAATTTAGAACTAAAATTGCTTGATTACTTGAACATGTACTTTTGTATGTTTTATGGTGCTTTTAATATATAATTTACTACGAAGCGTGTTTACATTAACAAGTAGGATTACAAGTTGGTTATTTGGTATCATTTGGGCAAACGGGTACCCGTGGATAAACCGATTCCCCATTAGGGCGGATACGATTCAAATAAAAATTACCTGAACGGGTAATGAGGCGGTTTTGGAGCAAACATTTATCCAATGGGGCGGTTTCGGTTTTATGTGTACCGTCCCTGGCTCGTCCTGTTGCCATGCCTGGACTAAATACGGTAAAGCCAAAGATGGTATACATAAAAAGTAAGCACTGATGGGATCATCGCAGTACATTAAAAAAGAAAAGGCCGCCGGGATTTCAAGCGTTGCTCTGCGTGGCCTTTGCAAACTTGCAGTGATTATAGATAGTATCTAGGTAGCTAGCTAGGCAGTACTATACGTGCGAACTATTTCAAATCAAGATAGCACCTGGTTCTCTCAAAGGTAAGAGAGGATGTAGTGTTCTTGAGATCACACTCAATGGTGGAATTGAATCTCTTCACCTTGATCACCCAAAGTAGTTTCAGCCTGATTTTGAGATGAACCTTCAACGCAACATCGAACCTCTCATTGCCGCTTCTCATCGTCTGGTTCAATCCCTTGAACACCAGATGCAGGTTGGTTGTGTTCTTGGCATGCTGAAAGAACGACGGCTGAAAGTTAGAGGTGGCACCGCCGGATCTCTGCTCCGAGAACAGAGCCTTTGACTGAAATCCGTCGTAGTAGATGCCCACTGCGTGGTTGGGGTTGCGGATGGACATGTTCACGGCGAGGTTGTAGCGGAGAGTCCGGTTCTTGGCAACGTGGGCGGACCGCGGCGGCAGCATAAGCTGCAGGGAGGCGTGCTCGACGTTAAAGCGGGGGGCGTGGTGGCGGAGGATGAGCCAGCTCACAATGATGGTAAGCGCCAGGATGACCACGATCTTCAGGATTAACCACGCCAACCACTCCAAGCAGCAGCAACAGCAGCAGCACCCGGTGCCGCCGCGCCGTCCGCTGTGGCGGCAGCCGACCTTTGGGGTGGACATGGCCGGCCGGTTCGACCCGCTTTTTATTTTTATTTATTTTCTGTTACGTGGACTTACAAGTCTCTTACCTAATCGATATTCCTTAAGGCATAATAACAAATTTTTTGAAATTATATTCTTGTGCTTATGGCAAATACAAATCATTTCCTTTACCAAAAGATAATTTTGTCGTTGACAAAACTGTTTCACCTTTTATCTCCCTTCAACGCGGGATTGATCGACGCCGTATTACCGTGGGTACGCAGTTTGAACTTTTGACAAGAGAGTTTAGCATGAGAGGAAGTCACCCGAATAAATTTAGAAAAAGTAGTAACTGAACGCTACAATATCAATTACGGAGTACCTATCATATGCAGAGAGTTTTGCCTAGGTATCCCATTTATGTGTTGTCATAAATGAGACAATTAATTTAAGTGATCTCTCACTTAAATGAATTGTCTCATTTATGGTCGCACATTAGAATGTGGGGGTTAAAATGAGGTGCATTTTGGGATACCTTTAGCATTTGTGTATACAGAGTAGCTCAGGGATTACAATAATACTCCCTCCGTCCCTCTAATATTGTTACGGAAGGGAGTGATGTGATTTTTAAGAAAAATAGAATTATGTGGTTGTTAATGAGTTGATAAAGTGGAAATAAAGTAAGAATGAATTAGAGTCACACAAATGTTACCAAATATGGTATGAGACAATAATAAAGGGACATCCAAAAATGGAAAAATAGGACAATTATAGGGGGATGGAGGGAGTAATAACAACTACCATAAGAAAAATTATTATGTAAAAATGCATAGAAATTCTACAAATATCTAGACTAGAGTCTCACTCGCTATCCATTACCTTCTAATTAAATTTCTCGGTCGATGTTGGGGCCTCAGGGACTACAATACCAATTAAAAGAGTGACGGTCATGTACATATCATATAAGGAGTATATATATAGTTTTGAACTTTTAATTGATCCAAATGTCATTATTTTTATTTGTCATATTATGCGTGGTCATGTATTACACAATATATGTTACTCCACCTTATCCCTTGCCTGCTCTTCTCTTCCATGAGAAATCATCTTCTTCATTGTTTATTTCAGTCACCTACGAAGATGAGATAACAAGAAGGCAAGTGTTTCAATCATCCATTTTGGAATGCCAAATTTTAAAGATAAGAAAGGGAGAGCATGTTTCAGTTTGTAAACTCAGGTTAGTTGTTTAATTTGATTGAAGATTTTGGAATTCATAGATTACCATTTGGTTACTTTGTGAACCAAGAGATCGGGTTATAGTTTGAGGAATTAAAACATTAGATATTAGCCCTAAATGAGACTAAAAGTAATCCGAAATTCCACAATAGGACTATACTTCTTTTATTTCTAAAATAGGAGTAATATATGCCTTTTCTTCCTATTCTACCCCCAACATATAATTTCTAATTGAAAAAATAATAGTTTTATTTATAATAAAAACATAAAAATCGCAAAAAAATATTATAAATATTATTAAAAAATCGGGAAAAAATAAAATAAAATAAAAATAAAAAATAAAATAAAATAAATAAAAAATCTAAACAAATAAAATAAAATACCTTTAAAATATTTAAAAATATGTAGGTCACCACTTCCGCATCCCCCACCTCCGAACACCACCACCTCTATCTCCGAAAAAAATGTCATCTTGTGTAAAAATACCACATTTCTCTTTTTTTTTTTGGATAAAATGTAAATGTATATATATCCAGAAAATAGCATTTGTACAATGCATCACAAAAATAAAAAAAACTATCTAAGTCAACACGCTAACCTAAAATAGTATCAACCGTATCTCCCCCCCCCCCCCCACCCCACACTGCGGTAGGGGTAGGGGGAAAGGAATACTTTTTCATAGCCCGAAGGCATCACAAAAAACACAATCCAAGAATGACACGGGACAGGCCCCGACTCATTCATCAAAAGTCCAAAAATAAATTCCCAGCAGTCCAGGCCCAATGAAAACCCTTCTGCATCCAAAATAACAAAACAGCAAAAACCTCTCCAGCCCATAATAAGGACATCCGTGCAGCAGTCCAGCAAGAACAGTCCAGCCCATTAAGCCCATCCTTGTAGCAGCAGCAACCGGGTCAAAACAATTAGGGCGACTGCCCAAAGTGTATCGCTTCCCCCCTTGCGCCGTTTTGGATTTCAGAATTCAAAATTCAAACCCTTCGGTCAAACTGGCAGACTGACCAATCATGGTCAACTGTCAGCCCTACCCCTCCCCCTACCACCCCGCCTGGTACCGGTTCCACCGGCGAGTGCTGTGACTGGAGAAAGAATAGGCCGTATCCCAACCGGAAGTCACCCCTGCAGAATCGAGCTCCTCCATCCACCACCCACCCTCGTCGAGCTTCGGCGACCCCCGGCGGCATCGATGGGATGATGAAACGGTGGCGATTTCCACAGTAGCCGGACCAAGTAGCTCAGGCAGTTCCGATTCCCGACGAGGCGGTCATCGTCTCCGGCGAAACCTGAAACTTTCAAGAAGAAATTATCCAACCAACAAATCATAACCGGAAAACTCAGACCGGTGTTCCTGTATTCGCTCAGTCCCTCCGATCATCTTTACCAGCAAAATCCCCAATCCGACATTTTCAGTCCGGCAAAATATCAAAGTTTTACTCCGGAAGAAAGCGTCCACATTCTAAGCAGTCCAACAAGCAGAAAAGAGCCCAAAAACGAACCAAACGTAAGGGATAACCTCAGCAAGGAAACAGAGAAAGAAGAGCTGAGTCTAAAATCCGTAACTGCGAACACCGGAGTATTCACAAGTCTGGACACCAAAGTTCCGGCCACCGGTGTCTACGACTCCAGCCACAAAACCTTGGCCAAGCAGAGAGACTGTACCGCGTAGTGAAAAATGAAGGCGCCATTAAACCTGCACTGAGAACCCCCTCACCCCGTGCTGCCACAAAAGCCTGCCCCCACCCAGAAAAGAAGAAAAAACCTACCGGAGGACATGGCAGCTCCGAACTCCGGCAGGTCCCGAATCAATCTTAGGCAAACCTGAAGGCGACCACTGGCGTGCCCTCCACCAGTGCATCAACCCACCCGGATACCTCAACCACCATCGGCGCCGTGTCCAAGGACAGAGAAGCTGCGACGCCGGAAACCTTCGTCCCGGTTGTAGAAAGAAACGGGAAAGCATGTGGGCGTACCTCGTTGGCCTTCAGATGGTTAGCAAACCAGCAAAGCTAGACCCCAGACAAATCTTCTCCGACCAGCTGTGTAACCCCCTAGATCTGCTCCGACCAAAGCCTACGACCGGCAGTTGGACCACTTTGACCATGGATAGCCTTAAGAAATCCATCACAACCCACGAACCACAAACCACCGGCAAACCATTTTCCAAAAATTCAACAGACCAAACAACCTTGAAGCCCACTGGAGCCAGAAGGGCTCCGGCGGCGGCAGCCGCCGCGAGTGGCGGCGCCGGAGATAGTAGAGCACCTAGAAGATTTCTAGTGAGAGAAACAGCTCTCAACTCTCACTACTCCACTTTAAACAAAGGAAAAACAAAACTGACACCAACTAAACTCCAACAACTACGACTGTAAACCCTATGATTAGACTTAGTGTTGGTCCCGGATATACAAGGTACTTATATAGAGGGGGGAGGGTGAATAGACTGTACTGGTTTTTAACCTTTTCAAACTAAGTACCAGACTTAAGAGAATAGCCTGTTCTGTTGAAGAAGAAAACTGGCAACGGATGGTCTTCTGGTAGGAGTTATGTCTGGTTAACCTCAAAGAGATGCAAAGGCAGTAGTGTTATTCCCTGTTTTCTATAACAACAGTATAATATGGCATACAGATGAAAGATTAACAATAAAGATGAACACAGAAAGATCAAGTGAAAACCTTCTCTGATATACCGTGAATCTTTCGTACAAGAATGATAAGCGCTAAGGCTATTTTGAGCAGATACGAAAGTTAACCGCAAACCTGAGTCCTCCTCCCTCTTTTATAGGCGAGGCTCAGGTATGCGTACAAAGGCTTCTTGCCTGAGTATGGGCCTAACACTTGGCCCATATTGTATACTATTCTAACAGATATATTTAATCAGTACAGAATAGAAATAGTAAACATCTAACTTATTACAGACAAGACAGACAAACTTGATTCACAATAAATAGTCTTCAACAATCTCCCCCTTTGTGATCAAGTGCCGTCTTGCATTTATTTTTGAGATCTGAAGTAATGCTTTCTGAAATTTAGCGCATGCTCATACTGTCTCAGCATTCTTCTCTTTTCAAGTTGCTCGTTGATAGGCTTTAGGATGGTCCACACCTTCTCGTATACTTGGAGCTCTTCCTCGCTGGCGTCCGCAAGTCTTGGATCTATATTTTCTTTGATCTCTTGTAGCTTAGTTTGAATGATCTTCAGAGTCCCATCACAGTATTTGTGAATGTCTTCTACCCACATGAGTCTTTTCTGTTCCTCGTGATTGAGATATATGATGGAGACTGGGTCCTTGAAGATGTGGTATGGTCTGTACTTTTTGAGCTCTGGACCGTTCAGAGTCGGTTTTACCAGATTCGCTTTTCGAACATTGTTTTCCAGGGCTATCTGTAGATCATGGGCAGCATAGAATCTGATCTGTCTCAGCATAAACCGCTTGATCGCCTCATAGCCTTCTTCGTGTGTCCTGTTTCGACTCAGTGGGAGGTACCTACTTACCATGAACATTTGGTAGATATCCTCCATTTTCATCATTATAAAGTCGTTTTCCTGGCAGATGAATATGCTGGAGTCTGTCCGTCGAACTTTGAAGCTGTAGAACGGAATGGTGTGATGATCTTCTCTGTGTATATCAAGGATAGCGTCAATAGGATGGGTGCTGGACTTCATATCTCTTTCCAGTACTTGACGTTGCTTTCCAGATGATCTGTGCATCAACATGTGAAGATGTCCGCCAGCCATTTTTCCTTTGAGGTGAGTCAAACCACGGATCTTTAGTTCATCTAGCTGTTTGAGCTTGTCTGCGGTTCTCCAAATTCCCTTTCTGATTTCCTCTTGGAAGGGGGCATTTATTCTGATGTTTTCCCAGAGTTTTTATTTTGGGGGCAACTTGCTTGCCGTTTGTCTGATGACGGATTCTAGCTCCCTGGGTATCTTTTTGTAGTCCTCCCCTTCCTTGAGTTCCTCTTCATCAAGGCGTATGATGTCTTCTGCGCATTTGGCCAGTAACTCTCTCAGCCACCAATTTCGCTGCATATCCTCTGACTCGGCTTCGCTTCTAAAATCATCCCACTCTGTCCATTTTCTCGGCCAAACGTCATGTACCACAGCATCCTCGAGTGCATCGTGAATATCTTTGCCTTGGGGAATGTAGGGGACTCTCAGCTGTGGTGATTTTTCTCGTGAGTCACAACCGGGTTCACTAGGATTGCCCGTTGTCATCAGGTTAGAACTGAGTTCTGGCTGATGGCCTGACTTGACAGATGAGTCAGATATATCATTGTCAGGACTTCCATCCCCTCCTCGAACGGTATCCTTTGGAGACACGCCTCGGGATGTTGTCATCGATTTCGAACTGTGTTCTGATCGATGGCCTGAACTTTGTGATGTACCAGAGGTAACCACTACAGGACTTCCATCCCCTCCTCGGACAGTATCTCTAGGAGATAAGCCTCGGGATGTTTCGTCTAGCTCGACCAGGCTAGAGAGTTGGGCTTGGTTGTGGCTCGAGGAAGGTGGTGGTTGGTTGGTGGGCTGGTTTGATGAGGTGTTTGGCTGGGGTTCATGGCTGGTAGAGGCTGCTTGCTCAAGTGTCCGAGGCCTCTTGTTCTCCCCCTCATGAGGTTCCGAATCATCGGGATCCTCATGGGAACGTTTGAGACCTCGGGGACTGTCACGGCAAGTGCCGTACTGAGGGCGGTCATGTTTGAAGAAGATTTGGAGAAGGTCGCGTTCGAAGGGTGAAAGGTGGCAAGTGTCGACCTCCAGCAACCGAAGAAACAGGAGATCGGCAAGCTCAAGGCGGGATAGGTGGTAGGGATTGGTCGAGGCAGAGGGCGATACCAGTTCCGTATCGTGGGTTCCCCGAGAGAGTGAAGGGCTAAATGGTGTGGTGGATGGGAGAGGGATGGCAGGAGTGGGTTGTGGAATGGATTGAGAGGGTGAAGAGTGGGGTTTGGGGTGGCTCTGTTCACTATGAACCGCTGGGGTT